TTTATGGAACTATGAAGGTGCAAAAGTCGAGTTTAGAGGAGACCCGAGTACTAGATTCACAAGATCGGGATCACCCTTTCCCCTAAGAATGTCAAAAACCTTGAGGAAATTTGCTCGACTTGGTTTGTGGTGCGGGAAAGAGAATGAGAGTTAAAGGGACTCGTGAGAATTGCTACCAAGGTTCTTAATATCGGCCTTTTCTCTTTCTCTAACAAATATTTCTTAATATAATCATTATTTTTCATTGTTGTTGTTTTGGAGCGAAATTAAATCAAAAGAACACATGGGAGTTGAATTTATTAAATTCGAATTCAAGAATTCATTGATACATCATAGCAAATTCGATGAAAGAAATAACGTAGATATGATAATATGTTTTTTAATTGCTTTTTTTTAATTATTCTTTCTCGTATTTACTATTTTGTTATGGATATGGATAAGTGCTCAAGAAAAATGAGTTGAAAACTGGATTGTAAGGTAATGTGTGATACTTGTCGATTGGGAGAATGTTTGAAATGGGATTACGTACGTATGAATTGTTGGAGATGTTTTACGGAGGAGGGCCGAGTTGTGTGGCCTATGGACTATCACTCGAAGTTATTGTCTAATGGTGGAGTTGCAAATGCTCGACAGCTTTTTCAATTTTATATGTTGGCTTAGGTTGCATTCATAGTTAGATTGTATGGTTCATTTGACCAACTCAAATATAGTTTTTGCATTAGTAATATTAGATTGGTTCTGTAAGTTTTCTTCTACCAATTTTTCTTGACAACTCCTAGGGGAGGAGGGTGGTAGGAGACCATGTGGGAAAGGAAAACGAAGTATTATTTTCTCGAGTGGCATTTTGTAACATTTAAAGAAGATGTTCACATGGTTGAAACTCATCACATGGTTTCATTTTTAGTGTTTCATCATACATGCAATATTTCAATGTGGATACGGATATTGTTGTTAATAGATTAATGAGCTCTTTTTATCCTATTGGTGGTGATTTTTTCAGCAAGATTGATGCAAATCTCGATCCGTAAGTTTGTTTCTCTGTCTCTCTCTCCTTCTTCCCCTCCCTCTCTTTTGTTTATTCTTCACCTCATTGTTTTGATTGCTATTATTTTGAGATAGAAAGATTCAATCATAAGAGAGGCATGATTCACCTAAGTGTCTAATTGTTAATTTTGTAATATGCTAGATACGGACTTGTCTAGTTCTCAACTACATTGATATTTGTGCTTATTTCTCTTGGAAACCTTGCCACCTACCTCAAACGGAAAACATATTGACTGCTATAAAGCTTTAGTCAAATGTGGAGCCTTAAATTGTCTCTTTGATATCCTATGTTGGTTACAAATTGGTTGCGGGGACGAAGGGAATTTTGCTTAAGTTGCCCCTGGAACGATCAAAGCTTATTCTAGTTGCTATGAAGGTAACTTCTTCTTATGCTCAAAACTTAACCATACTGAATTATTGCATTTCATTGGCTTTAACCATCCGCACTTCGTACACTCAAGGAAACAATGAAGAATGTTGGCATAGTTGATTACACTCGTGAACCGTCTTAACTACCGATCGCCTTATCGTGGTCACAAAGGAATTATTAAGGTTACGTATCTTGAAAACAGGGGAGCCTAAATAATAATTTGCTTGATTTTGTGGGCTAGCCATTGATAATTTTGACCATTAGTCCTTCAACTTTAGTCATTAGAATGGGCTTGATTTATTATTATTATTTTTTTTTATATAAGTTCTTTTGCCAATCAATTACGAGTTCTTATAGCACAAGAGAAATTCTATCCTCCATCATTTGCCGATCTTTGGAAAATACCGACTAGTTTTATTCTTGAGGTACGTAATTTGATCCTCAACCAAGGAATCGGCTATATGATAACTCGGAATAAAAGACCAGACCTTGATAGTTTAATAAAATTACTTTTTTAATTATTTTTTTTATTTATATAAAAAATCAGATATTAAAAAATTTAAATTGTATTCTAATTACTCATTAGTATTCCAAACACGGTATTAAAATATAAATATTATTCGATTCCTTAATTTTCATTTCGATTTTTATATTTTTATTTCTATTACTCTATTTTTTATTACCAAACAGCACCTTAATATACAATAGATATTTGACAATCCGCTTTCTTCTTCTCCCTTAATTAATGGATTATTATTAACTTAAGTGGCTACCATATTCTTGCTAGCACGAGAATATTTACAAATGTCTCGAAGATTTACTCGGATCCACTTACAATCTCATGTATGCATATTATTACTTGATCCATGCATGATAAATTTACATCTATCAGAAATCAGTTGTACTAAATTTGTGACTCTACAACTGATTTCTGATAGACATAAATTTATCATGCATTGATATATATATATATATATATATATATATATATATGAAGTGGTGTTTCGTTGTCGTTTTAGATTTTATTTTATTTCTTTATTTATTTTATTTATTTATTTATTTATTTATTTTTTGCTTGAAAACCTCGTGGTTTTTTAACAAAAAATTAGGTGAATTTTTTTTTTTAATATTATATGCATTTTTATACTTTGGTCCTTATAGTTATACTTTTGTAAGCAACAATCCCTAAACTTCACTTTTACTACAAAAGGTACTTGAATGTAGAGGAAAGAGAGAAGAAAAGGAAGATTGGAGGTTCAGATTTTTGAATTTCTAGAGTGCATTAGAATGTGTTTTAAGATTAAAAATGAGTTGTTACATGTTTGTAAGATGATTTTAGAGTGCTTTTATATATAAAAAAATAGTATACAAATTAGATGTGAAGGATTATAAACAACAATTTTTATTTGGTTTTTGGAATTTGTAGTCAGTTGTTTGTTGGACGATGCGTCAGTTCTTATAGACGATGCGTTGTTCATCTCTTTGTATTTGTTTTTTAAAAATAGTTGATCTGTTTTTCCGTTCTAGATCCATTCACATTGGCATTAGAACATGTTTAAGATTGAAAATGAGTTGTTACATGCATTAAAGTTGATTTTAAGATTTTTTTAAGATAAAACTAATATACCAATTGGACGTGAAGGATTAAAAACAATAATTTTTATTTGATTTTTGGAATTTTTAGTGATCTGTTAAGCGATGTATCAGTTCTTGGATGACGCGCATTCGTCTCCTTGTATTTATTTTATAAATATGGCTGGCTGCCCGTCCAACCCAATTCCATCCATAAGGTCCTGGTGCGCCCCGGCCAAACCTTTATTATTATTATTATTATTATTATTATTATTGAAAATATATATATTTTTTCAATAGTTAATGGTTATTTAATGGTTATCTTTTTATTTTTATAAATTCGTTAACTAAAATTAAATACTCTTTTGATATAAATTGATTTAGTACATTTTTTAATTTGATTTTTAGAAAAATAAATAATTAATTATGTTTTTTTTTATGGATATATTCATAGGATATATTTAAACTCAAATATGACATATAAATATTTTATTAAATACTATATAATACATATTAAATTAAATTAATTTCAAACTTGATATTAATTAGTATTATTATTATTTTTACATCTAGAATTTTCAAATTAATTAAAATATTAAAAAAATATTATATAAACATACGGCTGCAGCTTATGTTCAACACACGAGCAAAGGCTAAAAAAAAAAAAAAGAACTAACTGAACCGGACCACCCAACCATGTTGTGATCACAGCAGTGACCATCAAATTCTCTATACAATTTTTTTAACAAAAAAAAAAAAAAAAAAGGGACAAAAGTTGATGGATGAGTGGAATTATCAGTGAAAAAGAACTTGCAGGGAAGGTGGGAAAAACGACAGCTGCACAAAGAAAAGGGCTGTAAAAATATAGAAAAGGGAAATCAAATATGCCCTTTTTCTTTCAACGGAAAGAGAGACAAATCTTTAATGATTGAATGGTTCCTTTGTACGGAAAGAGACTGTGATTCGACCGCAAAAGTCTTCCATAAGTCTTTGAAGCAATAAGACAAGAACGCCGATGAGCGACAGTAGTCATGACAAGACAAATGAGTCAGACTGATGCAATATTATGAAAAAAAATTAAAATATTTTTTTAAAAAAATTATTGATTTAGATAAAAGTTGATTATATAAAAAATAAATATATAAAATACGTGAATTTTATTTTTAAAAAATTTGATTATATAAAGAATAAATAAATAAAAACAACTTTAAAAAAAAACTTATTTGAAAGTTTATGCATGGAGAAAATAAATAATATTTATTAAAAATTAAAATTAAATAAAAATAAATTTGATGATAATTTTTATAAGACATGATAAATTAAAAAGATTAAATTTTTAGTTTTCTTTGTTAATAGAGAATATAGTGAACTGTGAATTTCAAATTGCAACTATTAAGGAGTGTTAGAAACACCCCTTAATTTTTATAACTGTGAATATAGAGAATAATATTTAGGTCCGATCTTTAATGAGGAAACTCGGTCAATAATTTAGCCTGAGTAGAAACATATTTCGGTAATATCGATCTTATTGTCAGTTCAAATAGTTCAAATTCAAATAGAATTTAGTTATAGATAAAATAGTTTCTTATTCTATCTTATAGTTCAATGCGCAAACAAGAATCTACCAAGAACCACGTCTCCCACGTAGAAAACTTAAATATATATGGCATATATAAGAACATGCATGGGTTCAATGCGCACAAGAGGCAGGGACTAAACACAAACAATCAGACATATACTTAATTACACACCACGTAAATATTGATGAATATTAACTGAATCATCAGCTGAACTATTGATCTCTCTTACATATTTGATCCAGAAGTTCACACCATCATAACCATTAACAAAATAAAACTCACCTTAGACAGATAAATCATGCTGGATGAAGCAACGGATAAAAGAGAAGGCTGCGAACTTGCAACTATTAAGGGGCTCACACGTACCTAAACAGAAGGGAATGCAACAGCAAGGAACTCCTTATCCTCTAGAAAAGTTTCAAGATTATTGGATTTCATGCCTCTCCATACTCGAACATGACTCCGACCGTCTTTAGCTCCTCTCTGTACTCATTAATTTTATGACCATAAAAACTCTGTTCTATCAAGGGAATATCAACAAGCACAGATCCATTCTGCAAAATGTATCCCCAGTTTGAGCTTGTGTTGAGTGAAGTAAGTAGGAATGACTGTGATGGCGGCTTGTAACCAGGAGAGCCATTCATAGTAATTTTCAGCCAGCTACCCTCCTTTATGCATGTCATGAACTTTGATGGAATGCTTCCACTCCGTTTCAGCTCACGAATCCAATCCAACAGCAGAAATGCATTTTGTTTGGTAAGTGGTGTTGATGCAGTAGGTATTCCAGCATCGGGAGGAGATATGTGAGGAATATCAGAAGCTTCAAGGAACTCCAAGAGTTGCTTTCCCTCTGTGCTTGTGCCAGCAAAATATCCAGGATCCAAGTAGTCTTCTCCTAACTCAACGTAGCTTTCTCCCCTCCAAGGATTAGAACCAATCAATTGCACCCATTTACTTTCACTAGCTGGGACAAGAACGGCATTCCTTTCTTTGATCACATGACCATAGCTATCAACAAAAGGCATTTTAGCACGCAAAGAAGCAACTTCCCTGTCTGATAGATAGTCCTTTAAAAATGAATGATATAAGAAATGAGCATAGGCAATGACAAGTTTCCGGTCACTACTGACTTGACTTCCATAGAGATCTGCATACTCATATACGGTTAAAAGAGTAATGTTAACCGGGTCTACAAGCCATTTTAACACCACTTCTTTTTCAGATGATGAACAGATAGCTTCTTGTGTACTTTTTGGCACAAAATAGAGATTGGCCATGCATCGAAACTCCTTGTTCCAATCAATCAGCCACGAGACTCGAGAAGACTGACATGATAGGCACAGAGTTTTACCATACCACTGAGCAGATTCATTAACAGTGCACAAAGACACGCTCCCATCAATACCCACATATTTAACGAGTGGAATGTTACCCATGCCTGTGCTGTGAAACTTGGACTGCCAATTAACAGCAAGGAAGTGAAGAAGCTCCACGTATGCTTTCTCTGTGACTCCCCTTACAATATTAGAGCCTTGGATGCACTTTACATACCACTCACTGCATACTGGTCTGACCCCCAAAAACTCCAGTATCTGATCATACTCTGGTTTATCAAATGAGGAATTCAGAACATAGCAACCATGGGATGAAAGATTGTGCAAGCTCACTCTTTGCTCTCTTGCCTTCTTCAGTGTATTCCAGAAAGCAGGCATTAATCGGCCAACTTTGCACGGTTTATGAAAGAACTTTTGCTCTGTATATGACTCAATTGGAACAATATCCTCTTCAGCCAGCTTTGCTTTAATTGATTCCCTCACTGAATTCAACTTTTCAATGGGGGAGCTGTAGACTGGCAAGAACTTGAACATTCGAGGCATACTAGATACTGGAGCATCATCTACTGTTTTGACTAATGAGACTAACGCATTGATAAAAGCAAAGGGAACACAATCAAGAATTCCTTGGTTCCATTTGTTGTCCAATCGTATAGTTTCCCTTGATGATGCTAGAATAAAATCTGCTTGAATTATGAAGGGAAAGTTACTCACCATCTCGGTTGGAAGAAATGCATATACTCCAGGGGAGTACTTCATTCCTCTATGGAGGCGCACTCCATTAGGAAAAGCCAAAGTGATCACCCAATCCTCCACTTCCATTCTCATGTCAACTCTGTTTTCCGGCCTGACAGGAAATTTCTGCTTCCACAAGTAGTAGCTGCATTCTTTTTCAAATTCATCTCCATTTTCGTCTGCAGACAGATAGAGTGTGTAGGACTCAGCATCGATGTTTTTTCTCGTCACAAAATTAGTCTCTTTGGTAATAGCTATTGCACTAACAGTGTTGAGCCTGGGATCCTCATTATCTTCCCTGATAGAAAGCCGCTTTATCTTTGAAAGGAACAGCAGGATTTCTGGATGAATACTTGACAGCTGCTGCTTCACAGGGTTCACCTTATCAGGCTTCAGAGGCAAAATCAGTGTAGTAGTTGGGAGGGTAGAAGCAGAGCCATAAATTTGTTTTATGTCAGAAAGAGATGGGCTCTCATCAACCCATTCAGGAACTATGTATCCAAGATTGCAGTGTGGACAGGGCTTTTCATTGAATCGGATCTGATAGCCATTGCTGAATATGTAAGGTTGAGCAGCAATAAGAAACACACTCTTGAATCCAATTCCTGCATACCAAACCAAAACAAGGTTTATTAGAGCAGCGTTGAAGATAAATAAGGACTGCTGACAGGTGAAATTCTTTTTGTAAACGTATGTTTATCCTTTACAATATAAATTAATTTTAAATTCAGTCTAAATATATTTTGAAAAATATTTCCACAAGTCCACCGCAGATTTCAACAGATTAAAAAAAAAGTGTCTGGTCTCTTTCTATGTCTCTGGAGATCTGCATACTGTCAATAATGTTGAATTTCCGAACAAAACCCCAAGGTTTTGCCTGTTCTCATACTTAAAAAAAAAAAATGTTTGTAATCTGCTTGGTTGCAAGTTTTTCGTTTCCAAATCTGAGCTGAGAGATGCTAGGCTAGGTCTCGTCTAGATAAAAAATGTGAACTGGTGCTAAAGCAGGACCATCATTGAAACAACTAGAGACTTGAAACGAAATCCAACCAAATAGTTTAGGGAACACCAAGACAAGCATGTACTATAACAGGCATCACAAGCAATAACCCGACAGCTAGTCAGTGTGCAGGTTATAAAATACAAAGCACAAGAAAGGAAAAGTACCTTTCTCCCCAATATAACCGCGCTTCCGGTTCCCTTTCTTAGTGGAATTTCCAACATTGCAAATGGACTCGATATTTTTTGCAGAAAAGCCCTTCTCATTATTGAACATGAGCAAAGTAGCAGGTGCACCAGTATTCGTTATATCGCGAGATGTTATGACAAACTCAAGTGAAGGTTCCACCCCTTCCAAGTATTCATTGTCTTCCGCATTCTGTGCAAGGAAAATTCACCTTGGAATCAATGGATGCTAAACTATGCATGTTTATATCAGATGGAAATAACTGCTACCACAATTAAAAGATCCAAAATTTGACATGAAAAATAAATACTTGATGCACAGATTTTATCAACTGCTCAATGGATTAAATGGATATAATATACCCTTTTCATTATCTTAGTCCGATAATGATACAAATCTGTTAATAAATATAATATTTTAAAAACATAAAAAAATAAGAAAAAAATCTACCATTCTATTTAGATTTAGGGTTTATTAACTCTATATCTTTTTTTTTCTCTCTAGATTGACTAGTATCCTTACAAACAATCACATAACAAGTTTTTCTCATTCTTTTTCAATTCTCAAATTAATTTTTGAAAAATGGTGTAAACATATGAAAAAAATTAATTAGTGAGTTACCACCGGTATTATACTTGTATTTCTAATTCATAACATCTTGATCCAATATGAATTTTTGTCCACTTTTAGCATTTCAAGCTTACTGTTTGTTAAAAGAGTAATGTATTTTTATTATTTTTCTAATTTAAATTAATTTTGACATTTAATATAATTTTTTAGAATTATTGATTTTGTTCTTTTTTTAAATTTGAATTTTTTTAATATGAAATATTATCAAAACATTTTTTTTGTAACTCATTTTACATGAAAGTACGATTTTGATTGTGAACAACATTTTAAGGGGAAAAAAATGATAAATATAATGAGTAACACCTTTTAAAATCAAATTGTCCGAATGCGACCCTTCAGTTAGTAAAATAACCAGACCCCATTTTCCCACTAAAAGCAACAGCCATAAAATAATAATAATAATAATAAATAAATAAAAGAAGGATCAATGGCAAACAAAATATATAAAGAAAAAAAACACAAAACATAAAGCATACTAAACAACAACATTCTCTGATATAAAGAAAAACATAGACATTTGGGAAAACGTGAAAAAGAAAGAAAACCTGAATGAGTTCCATTAGAAAGTGGACATCTTTAGCGTAGAGTTCAGCAGAGAGAAACTTGACAGCCTGATCAAGCATTGGAGCCAAAGGGTTCTTTTCTCCTCCTATCGAGAATGTCGTTTTTCTTATCTGCTCTATGTGTTCTTTTGGAGTCCCCATTCGTGCTCTTGCAAACAGAAAAGAAGATAAAAAAATACCCAGAAGCGAAAAGAAAAAAAGACAGAAGAACGAGAAGTTGAGTAGTTACAGAGAGAAGAAAGCAGAGGTTTTGAAGGAAACAGAAGAAAGCAGATCAGGTTTTGAAGGAAACAAGGAAACAGAGGGGTAGCTAGTAGTAGCAGGAGTAGTGGCAAGTAGTGAAGTGAAGGGATATAGGGAAACTAAAAAGACTTCTTCATGAGGAAGGAAACTTGCAGGGGAAGTACTAGGGAGAAAAAACAAGAGGACATTGACTTAGAAAAAAAAAAAGAAAAAAAGAAAAACGAAAAAAAAAGGAATACGAATAGACAGGCAGGCTCCTTTCTTCGTTTTTGCTTGATAAATTAAAGTGGCAGGAGCATGTTGGACAAAATGATTTAAAAATAGCTTGAACGTTCCATTAAATTGAGATTTTAATTCGAATACTATAAACTAGTTTTTTTACGATGAAAATTAGATTTTCCATTAATTTTAACCACAGATAAAGTAGACTTAACTTGTGGAGGAAGGAGGTGGGAGAAAAAAGAGGAAAAAGAATGGCTTGAAAAATTGAAAATGAGTAGACAGACATACTCCTTTCCCCCTAGGTATGGGTGAAGACCGTGTTGGTTATGCATAGTAAAGAATCTTAATTAGCTTAATTCGAGAGATTATGATTAGCTTAATTCGAAGGATTCATTCCCGTTTCTACAAAGCTTTTTTGTCTTTAATCTTAATTAATTTTTGTCCTTTCAGCCATAGCCAACAACGCTGCAAGTCATGATCAGAAGAATTTAGTATCTATTTCAAATGTGCAAAACATCACTATAGATATCAAATCCCCATTCTATTTGCACCCATCGCATCATTTAGGTTTGATTTTTTTTACGAACCACTAAGTGAAACTAGAGACAATTATTTCATTGGAAAAATAGCTTTTTGAATGCATTACAATCTAAGAACAAGGTAGGGTTCATGAATGGATTGATAAAAAAACTTGATGTTAATTCTTGAGATTTCCAAATTTGGATCCAATGCAATATCATGGTTAAATCATGGCTGATCAACTTGCTCTTTAAAGAATTATAAAAAGGCACCGCTCATGCAGATATTACAAATGGTGTGACTTTAAAGAGTCATTCACTCAAGGAATTACACCTCGAGGGTATGAGTTGAAGCGAATCATTGCACTATTACATGAAGAAAAAATTCAGTCATCTCCACATATTATGAAAAATTGAAGAGTGTATGGAGTGAATTACAGATTCTCAGATCGGTACCTATGTATACTTGTGGTGCTAAGAAGGAGATGCAGGAGATATGTGAGAAAGAGAAGGTTTTGGCTTTCTAATCAGATTAGATAATGCCTACAAAATGGTTCAATCTCAAATCATGAGCCTAGAACCATTGTCAGGGCTCGAAAAAACTTATGCTGTGGCTACTTAAGATTAAAAATAATGCATAATGGTTGCTACTTGTGTCCCTATCATCGAGGCCATAACTTTTTAGCCAAAGCACTAACGAGATGATAAGGAAGTGATCAAAGGATTGATCAATGTATGGAGCAAAGAGGTGAAAAACGAGATACTCAATTCCATTACACTCAAAGTAATTGAAGCAATTCTTCCTAAAAAAAAAAAAATCTATAAGATCATCGAATATCCATTCAGTTAGAGAAACCCAAGCCTAAGAGAAGTTAACAACAACTATATACTTCTGGAGCCATAACATCATCCGAGGTAACAAACCAATCCTTTGTAGTCACTGTCGCTTAACTTCTAATGCTACTTCAGTCCTTGCATACCCAAACCTTACACCAACATAAATCTAGCAACTTGTTGATTTTATAGGCTAGCAATCTGGATAAACTACTAGGCCTTCTATAAATATGGCCTCACAAAAGTATGACAAGCTCATGGATTATTGATATAAGGGTAACATACCATATAGCATGTAAAATTGATTTCATGATAGATGTTTGTGTAAATTCTAGTATTCCTCCAGTTCAAATTCCTAATGGAGACAACATTCTAGTTCATGCTTTAGGTCAAATAAATCTTGGCCAAAATTTGAGTCTCAAACAAGTATTAGGCGTATCTAATTTCTATTTTAATTTATTAATTGTCAATAAATTAACTCAGATCTCAACTATACTTTAATATTTGGATTTAATTTTTATGTGATACAAGACTTACTCTTGAGAAAGACAATTGAAGTGGATAGGGTGCAAAAGAGATTGTACTATTCAGACCCAACGAGAGTAGAGAAGACAGTCTTAACAAATGGATACAGTACTATAGATTTGTCGCACCATGGCCTAGGCATCACCAATAAACTAACCATTACTAGTTTTAAATTTATCTATAATATTTAGTTCAAGATCTTTCTTTTACAATGTTTGTTATAAGGAAAAACAAACTAGATTGTCTTTTCTAACTCATACGAATAAATCCATATAATTTTAATTTAGTCACCGTGACATATAGGGTCCATATCGCATTAAATCTCGCTCTAGGTCACATTATTTCCTTGCCATTATCAATGATCATAATCACACAATATTAGTCTTTCTTTTGAAAGATAATTGGGTTTAAACGCAATTCAACACTAAATTCAAGATTTTTCAAAATAAATATTGGTCTTGAATTTACTCATATGGACTACTCGAGTCATTATTTTGAGAATAGAATGGACAAGCGCACAAATAGGATAAATACATTACAACATAATGAATGATAGAGGGAAAACATTTACATCTTTTAAAGTGGGTAGAGCTTTGTGATTTTAGAAAAATCTTCCAATTAGTTTTTAAAGTGAATGTATACTTAAAATAGCTTATTTGATCAATCGCATGCCACTCTCTTTACTCGAACAACTAAATGCCTTCTATAAAGTACCTAATTATGATTATTTATGAAATTTTGGATGCCTCTATTATGGGTATTTTAACAACTAGCCTTATGGATAAGTTCACTCCTACAAGCAAGCCTAGTATTTTCATTTACTATCTTTATGGAGAAAAAGGTTATCAAATTTATAATTTAGACAAGTAAATTGATTTACTCCTCCTAAGATGTTTATTTAAAAAAAAGAAAGATATTTATCCTTCTGCTAGCACAAATGATAGTGTTTTAGATTTACAAGTTCGCACCACTTGTTGTGGGTTAGCAAATCCTAATCTTGTCAATTATGAGAATCCAACAAGTAGCCACGTGCCTACTAAATTGGCTAGAGTCGTCACACACTAGCCTCCAATCTAGCCTAGTTGCTTGCGATCCCCTAACTCAATGTAAGCTAGGCCCGCTCCATTTGGATCATCATCTCGCATCGTTTGGTTCCATGTCACTATCATTGAATATGAGTTTTGAGTCTTCATCTTAAAACTAGCACACTTGGATCAAATGATAGATTACATTAAGTCATCCTCATAAGTTATAGAGTCCACACCTTCGCACATTAGTACTAATTGGCATGTTCTTTTCATTGTTGAGTCCCTTAGTACAATTACTATATGCATAAGATAAGTGTCCAAGAAACTTTCTAGGTATAACCATATCTTGTTGTCATTTTTTTCTCTCACCTTTATTTACTTCACAATCTTTCCCTTATTTGATCAACTCGATGATGTATCCTCTTTTTCACGGTATTTCTTATTTCATATTTTCTAGAAATTATATTGTTTTCTTAGTTGCCATCTTTTATGTCATTGAGGCATATCTTTTTTCTTAAGTAGTAAAACATAATCACTAGTGGGATGTCATGGCTAAGGAGATTTACGCTTTAAAAGTTAATCATAATTGGTCATTTGTTCCCTTATTACCTTGAATTGTGCTATTGATTTTAAATGGATATACAAAGTCAAATTCAACCCAAAAGGCACTATGAAAAGATACAAAATACTATTTATGGCTAAGAGAAACACTCAAATTAAGTGTGTCGATTTTCATAAAACGTTTGCTTAGTAGCCAAATTGATCACCATTAGATGTCTTCTTGTTGTTGCTTCGGTATGCAATTGGAAATTTTACTAGTTAGATGTCAACAATGCATTTTTACATGACGATCTTGAAGAGGAAATCTATAAGAGAATTCATCAAGGCTTCACCAAATAGGAGGAGCATCACAGTTTTGTCTTCGAAGTCCATTTATGGACTCTAACGAGCTTTTCACAATTGGTATAAAAAATTTACCCTATCCCTATTAGTAGTTGATTTTGTTTAATCTTTTTCTCATTACTCTTTATTCACATTTTTTATTTTTTGACTCATTTATGTTGATGACATGATTATCATGTGAGCTGATTTAATTAAGATTTATTTGTTAAAATAATATTTAAACACCAAGCTTCACATTAAAAGCCTTGGTAAACTCAAATATGTTCGGAGTATTGAAGTATCACATTCTTCCATTGGTATGATGTTAAATCAAAACAAATATGTACTTGGCAACAAGTTGTAAGCCATCTTCTCACCAATAGATTAATAACACAAACTTGATCTTGATTTCGGACAACTCTATAATGATTCTAGATGATATAGATGTCTAGTTAGTTCGCTACTTTATCTCACTATCACATCTTTGATATATTAGCTATGCAGTACACATTCTAATTTAGTTTATTCGTGAGCTAAGACAATCACACTTTGATGTTGTGTTATGAATTCTTCGATATCTAAAAAATGCGCCTAAACAAGGCATTTTTCTCCCATCCAACAGTTCATTGTCTTTATGGGCATATTGTGATGCAGATTGGGCTAAATATCCCACAACTCAAAGATTCACAACTAGCTATATAGTGTTTCGAGGTCCTAGCCTATTATATGGCGATCAAAGAAACAATTTGTAGTTTCTTGTTCTACAATTGAGATGGACTACTCGGGCGATGGCCCTTCCCGCAAGTGAAGTTATTTGGCTTCTTCGAATGATGTCGGATTTGAAAGTATCTCACTCAAATCCAATTTCTTTATTTTGTGCCTATCAAGT